ACTGTGTGACCTGGGGCAAATTACTGAACTTCTCTGGGGCTCATTAAAAATTAGGTGGTTCCAGTTGATGCCTATGATGATTGATTCCTGCCAGATCTAAATCTAAAACACCTTATATTTCTATGGTCTAATAGTAACCCATTTCTGTAGCAACAAAGTACTTTCCTCATGACAAACCTGTAAGGTACTTGGTGCAAATATTGTTGTCCCAACTTTACAGATGGGAAAAGTGAGGTCTAGAAAGAAGCGCTGCCTATCAGCACCATACCTTAATTCCATGCCTTATGACTCAAGTTTGAAGCTCTCTACTGCACTCCCGTGACCTAGGGAGTCAGGGCTCCTCAGTGAGTCCTCCCTTATCAAGTTCCATCTGCCTTATATCCACATACACTCCTTTCTCCCTGTTCTCCCTTCTTCTAGATTCAGATGAGACGCTGAATCATTTAAGCAATGCAAAGCATTGGTGTTTCCAAGAAGCACTGAAAAAGGATTGCCCCTTTGTGCTGAAGAGACAGGAGAGTATCTTTATCTAAAACCATTTTTTAACACTTGTTTCTAGTCATTCTGTCGTGTTCTCCTAGTCCACGATCAGCTCCTTGATGGCATCAAGGAAGGGACTTTAGAAATCAATCAACTAGCCCATTCCCCTCATTTTATAGATGGTGTTTGGGGAAACACAGGTCTAGTGAGGTGACGTGACTTTGTCAAAGGGTTCAGAACTCACTCTTCATTAGTTCTTACAGGATTTCCCAGGTTAAGTGAAATCATCAGGTTCATCATTTGTTAAGACATAATAGTATTCTGTTACATTCATATACCATAATTTGTTCATCTGTTCCCCAGTTGGTAGGTATCCCCTTAATTTCCTGTTCTTTGCTAATGCAAAATGAGGTGCTATAAATACATTTATATATGTAAATTCTCTTTTTTACCTGGTTTTTTGATGTTGGGATATGGGGCTAGTAGTGGTACAATTGGGTCAGAGGCTATGCACAGTTTAGTGTCTTTCAGGGCCTAGTTCCAAATTGATAGGGCCCTGAGCCCTGCTGTCCTGAAAATGGCCTTGCTTCCTCCTGTACCAGGACCACATTCACTTGTGTGCTCACTCCTCCTTTCCCACTGTCACAGCACAGGATCATGTTTGGTCAGCACCACTAGACCTAGCATCTGGAAACAGCAGGGTGAGAGAGAGCTCCTTCTATATCCCCTCACTCAGCCATCTGATCCTCATGCTGGGTTAGATGAGCTGAAAGTTCTTTGAGGACTACTCTACTTCCCTGGGGCAGCTCCACAGAAGTTCTAGAACCAGAGGGTCAAGTAGGAAAAGAAAAAAGTGTAGTGTTCAACACCTAAAACAGATCCTAGGAGCAAAACTTACAAGAATGTCATAGCCAAGTGTCAAAACTCTCAGGTTAAGGGGAAAATATTGTGAGCAACAAGAAAAAAAAACAATTTAGATGCTGTGGAGATACAATAGGATTTCATAATACCTAGCAGCTTCTACATTAAAAGATCATAAGTTTTGGAATATTATATTTGAAAGAGCAAAAGAGCTGGGGTTGTGACCAAGAATAAATTACCCAGCAAAATTGAGAATAATCCTGAACCAAAAAAATGAACATTTTACCAACAAATACACAAACACTGTAAATGTAAGTTATTGTATTTTCTTCCTGATTTATTGAGCTAATAAATCATGTTTGTCTATGTGAGTTTAGTGAGATGAACATCAATTTACATATAATACCAATTAATACAAAAGAATCCATGTATATTTTCCCATTTTATCCTCATCAAAATACTGTGATATAGGTAGTGCATTAGTACTGTCATTTGAGTAATGAGGAAATTGAGACGCTAAATGCTTTGCCCTTGACCATGAGATTTTGGTATTGAGGAAAAGTCAACGCTGAGGTCAGAAATTGAATGTATAACAAATACTCAATGGACTTAAGAAAGGTATAAACATACTGGTAGAGGACCTAGCTCAAGTTTAAGTCAACTATGGTCTACTCCATATAACCATGTGAGTGATGAGGGGGTAAAAGGATATGGCATTATTAAGACAGGAAACAGAGCATTAGAAGAGACTACTATACTTCCAAAAATCTCTTGCTGTGGTACACATTTTTTCCTTCTCCTACATTCCCTCATCCAGCAATGGGACAGGAATCTGGGAGAACATACCCTTATGTGCACAGGTTGGTTAAGGAAGGATTTAACTGGTTAGTTCTGTTGCCACATTGCTGAATTAAATGTATTTTGCTTTGAATTGATGTTTTTTCTGGGTGATCTGGTAAGAAAACCATAAATGGTGACTTCAGATTACATTTCATTGCTATAAGTGGGTCATTAATCCGTTTCAGGATGTCCATCAGCGTATCTTTTTTCTCCCATATTTCTGATACTTTAAGGGCTTCATTTACTCCATTGAATTACATTAGCATATTGCTTTGTTCTAGTTTTGTTCCTAATTTGGTTGATTTTTTCTTCATGTAACTTTTTAATGATTTTTCTTCCCTTTGGTTTTGGTCTTTGTTGTTTGTGGAGGGATGGAAAGTGAGGAGCCTCTAACTCCACAATCTTGACTGTAAAACCCATCATCTTCCTCTCCAAATACTTACCACAGGACAGTTCTGTTTCTTTTGAGGTAGTTTATCTTTAAAGGAACCGGGATGCTCTCTTCAGGACTTGATAGGTCTAGAGGACCAGGACCTGAATCCCTGGCATGACTTCCTGGCTGCCAGAGAAAGCCCAACCTAGAAGGTGTCATAAGCTTCATAGAATTCTCACTGATATGAAAGTCAGTAGACCTTTCTCATTGACATTGCTGCTGTGACTTATCTGGAAGTGGAAGGGGTCCCTTGCACATTGGAATCAATGTTGTATCCTTACTTATATTCGTTTTTATGTCTGAGTCAAATTCTTTTTAAAATATGGTCTGCAAATGTCTCCTTGCATACTAGTCCTCAGGGTGAGCCCTTTGAATGGCTTGAGTTAAGCCTAGTCCAGAACAGGTGTCTTCTTTCTCTGTGTCTGTTTGTATGGTATGGTCTCTACTTCCTATCCATCATTCTGTTCCCACCTGGTGCTCCCTCTGAAATTTCTTATAAAGTATCATAGAATAAATTCAGAGGGAGAATGACAGAAGGTTAGAATGGGGAAGGACCTTAGATGTTATGTAATGTATGACCAAGAGTATGCTGCTTCTGGGGCAGTTAGGTGGCACAGTGGATAAAGCCCCGGGCCTGATGTTAGGAATACCTGAGTTCAAATCCAGCTTCACACACTTATTAGCTGTGTGACCCTGGGCAAGCCACTTAACCCTGTTTGCCTCAGTTTCCTCATCTGTAAAGTGAGCTGGAGAAGGAGATAGAAAGCCATTCCAGTATCTTTGCCAAGAAATCCTGACATGGGGCCACAGAGAGTCAGAAACAACTGAAAGGACTGAACAAATGCTGGATCCAGCTTGTACCGTCTCATGAGATCTGATTCTTAAATTTCCAGTGTGAGCCTTTATTGCAAATGTTACAAATAAAGGTGTGAATGGTTGTTTTGTTGTTGATTGTCTAGCCTTAATAAAATGAAGGAGAAATATTAGTAATACACCTTAAATGTAATGGTTATGTTTACATTTTTTCCTGGAGATTCTGGGTGTTAAACAATTTACCAGCATATTCCTGCCCCTAACCTACAGAAATTGCCAGTGTTACTACTCCCTCTGTTATGTCTGCAATAGTCATTTGATAACTGCATTCTGTCACCATTTAATGATTCAGCATTAAACTGATTAAAGAGAATTAAGGAGAATTTTGAGACAAGAGTTCTTTTTTCTTATTTTCTTGGCCACTATTTCCAGTAGCTCCTTTTAAAGGCAATGTCTATAAAAAAAGAGAAACTTTCCCCTTTCAAAAAAAATGACCCTTGAACTAAGGGACCATTTTTTTCCAGGAAGAATAGTTATTATTTTCAGTTGTGGTCTCCATTGAAAGTTTACTGTAGGTCATTGTTCCCCAAGCTGCACATCGTGGAGTAATTGCAAGTGGGCTGTGGATCAAAATGCAGCCCAAGCAATGTCATTTAAAACAATATTTGATGTACCTAATTAAACACTGTAGACTGAAAGAATATTGTTTTATACATGTGTGTGTTATTTTTCAAAACTAGCAATCTTTGATTTATAAAATACAAACTATCTTAAAAGCATTGGTGAATTTATGAAAAGCTATTTTATAGTTATATGTTTTTAATGAATACTAATAGTGTAACTATAATGTGTGGGTCTCCAGATGTATCTGGTGATGTGGCTATAGTCAGTGACAGCTGGATATTTTTTGGGGAAAATCAGATAAAGATAAACAGGAAATAATGTTTCATATTAACTTTGATGACTAATTTTAAAAGTTTTAAACCGCAGTGCTATCTCAGTTGTCATGATTTCCTTGCTTTTTCAGAGTGAGGGAGACTGAAATCTTACTATGCTTTTTTTATAAAGCAGAAAAACTCAAGAAGAACATTAACACAGTGAGCTTTGTATTTTGCAGATATTCAGCAGCAGTGTGTGACCTGGACTTTGTGGTCATATATAACTGTCTGTCATACACATAATATACATGTAAAATGAGTGTTTGATATGGCCCACACTGTTACTCCATGCCTGCTTTCATCTTATACAAATTAATTATGCATTCTGGGTTTTTAATGCATATGAAGTGCCTCAGTGGTGCTCACTGTAAATATGAAAGATAGTAACCAAAAAGCAACCAACAATTACCCTCTTCCTCCCCAACAAGTCATGTTTTCTTGAATAAAAGTTTAATGGTTCCTACAAGTCCTTTCCATGAGTCCTGGCAAAGATCTTAGCTTAAAAAGGCTAATGTTTCTCCTCTGTATAGGGGGTCCTCTCTATTACTCCTGATCTATACCTTGACACTGAACCCAGATAGCTCCAGAGGAGAAAGTGATGCTGGTGACCTTGCACAGCCCTCTCTTAAGGAAATCTGGTTCATTTGCAAATCATGGCATTACCTACCTGATGATGGTGGTTCTCTTCAAGATGGAAGGAAAAACAACAATAGGTCAGTGATGTTTTTTACGTTCTGAAAGTGTTCTCAATTTTGGAACAGATTAAGAAATCCTTCCTGTCAGCAGAGTTGGTAAAGTACTGTGGGATATGTCATAGACTGCCAAAGCCCTAGAATCATTGGTTTTGTTTTTAAAAGTATTGATTTTAAGGGGAGGCAGGGCCATATTGTCAAGTAACTGGCATATAAGGAGCAAAATGATTCAGTAAAACTTTAAACAAGAAATTTAATGGCTTTTGCTCTTTAAAATATGCTACTATAGAACAAGGGTAGGATTCTCTTTATCTTATCTGCAGGTAAAAATCCATTGGAAGATGACTCAGGACACTGAGGAATTATTAACTGATTGATCTCGTGTTAGCAGTCCTTTGCCAGCTTTCTTACCAGTAAGGAATTGTCAATGGATCCATCTTTTGTCATTGCTCTTGGCTTATTGCTGTGTATCTCATGTCTGCTCATTTTATCATGGAAAATGGGCTTTGGAAGAGGAAAGCTTCCACCTGGTCCTGTTCCTCTTCCCATTATTGGCAATATACTACAGGTGGACCTTAAGAATGTCCCAGAATCTCTTTGCAAGGTAAGTGATCATATCTCTGTCTTCTGTTGGTTTCATTCCTGACTCTAGCAGCATTCAGTTTATTTTGGGAGATTGTCTTCAAGCAGCTTGTTCTAATGAGTAGAGAATGTTAGAGTAGGTGTGTAGGTACCTTGTAGGTTTTCTACACCATATTTTGATTCACTGTAGTGGTCACAGGGGTCCACTGCTTCAGCACTAGCTAGGTGCTATCACTTTCCTGTAGGTTTGAATGAAATCCATTCTACAAGAAGTGCCTTCCTCTGCTGTTACTGCTCACCATGGCACTTCAAAGTTGTAGGAGAAAATGCCGTCAGTCCTACTTAAAATGTTCATTGCCCACCATAGGAAGAAAGGTGGTATTTAATGTGCCTGATTATTTCTGTTGGCTGAGGAATGAGTAGGTCCTGCAAACAGGTGGGAACCTCCAGGCTTTGTTGGATCAGAGTGGAGAATGTTTTCTTTGCACATTCCTTCGCAGGAGCACTCATGTTACCTCTGTGTGCTGCCCAAGACCTTGCATTTAATCTTAAGTGTGCCTGGCTGAAAGCAAGCCTGGCCTCAAGAGGAACCAGCAAGTTCTGAACTCAGACCTGTAGGTCTCAAAGCCTTTGAAAAGTAGCCTGTAGTAGTGGAAAAGGTGTTGAACTTGGAAGTAGAAAAGCCTGGGTTCAAGTCTGTTAGAAACTTTGTGTGTTGGGCAAGTTGTGATGACCGCTCTGGACCTGTTTCCTAAGACTGTATGAAGATATGATCCGTAAATGTCCTGTCTGTCTCACAGGGTTGTGAGAAAATATTAAGTGAGGTTACCATGTGGAAACAAAAATATGCTATCATTTTGACCAGGTAGATTGCCAAGGCGTTTTTTTTTTTTTTAACAAATCCTTCCCAGATATACCATGATCTTTGGGGCCTCAGGGTCCTCATCTGTAAAGTTACGATTGATTTAGAAGAGGAATTCTTAATCTTGGGACCATGAACTTCCAGTTGATCTATAGATTTATTTCAGAGGTTCTGTGAGCTAGGATGGGAAACATTACGTCTTTATATTATTCTAATATAATTGCTTTCCTTTGTAATCCTGTGTATTTCTAAAAATATCATTCAGAGGAGTACATAGGCTTTACCAGACTATTAAAAGAGTCCACAACAACAACAAAAAAAAAGGGTTTAGAACCTCTGGTTTAAATGATCTCTAAAGTCTCTTCAGGATCTATACCCATGATCAAATGATACTAATTTGTAGTTTTTCTGTTGGAATGAGGACTGTTTTCTACTCCAGGATTGCACTGACAGCATTGTCCTTTTTTCCCAAGTGTGCTATTCTCAAAGCTTTAGATGAATAACAATGATGATAATGATAGTAATAGCATCTATATAGTGATTTAAGAGTTGCCAAATGTTTTACAAATATTATCTTATTATTCTCATAAGAACCCTTAGAATTAGGTGTTATTATGATCCTCATTTTACAGATGAGAAAACTGAGGTAGCCAGAGGTTAAGTGACTTTCATAGGGTTACATAGCTACTAAGAATCTGAAACTGGATTTTGAGAAAGGTCTTATTGATTCTAGGTCCAGTGCTGTATCCACTATGGCATCTAAGTATGAAATATAAGCTCCACCTCTCAGGAAGGTTTGGGGATACAACACTGAGTCATAAACTGTGCCTCATTGGCCAGCCTTCTGGCTTCTAGCCCAAGGCACAGAATGAACTTTTAGCCTTTTGAGACATCTATGGCTTGACTTGAGTTCATGGGTTGTATCATCCTCTCTGTAATAAATGTCAGAAATGTTTGAAGAAGTTGATAATGGATTGAGAACTTCTGTAATAAAATCAACAATAGTAATCCAAGCAGTTTATCACCCGATTCAGTGAGGACCCTCTCACTAGTGCCCACATCTCTTTTCACAGCTAGCAAAAGAATATGGCCCAGTGTTCACTCTACAATTTGGTGTTGAGTGTATTGTCGTGTTACACGGGTACAAGGAGGTGAAAGAAGCTCTGATTGATCACGGGGACAAGTTTGCTGACAGAGCACATATGCCGATTTTGAAAGTCACTAGCAGTGGATTTGGTAAGTTTGTGCTTAGTGTAGAACAAGAAGAGAAAGACAAGAATAGGGAAAAGAATAGTATTCTGAGAAACTGGTGGAAATAAACCCACTTTCAAACCAAAGCTCCCAAAGCAGTGGCATGTTGGGGAGCATGTAATGAGTGATATGGAAGACATTTGTCTTTTATCCAGGATAGTAGTTGCATAGATTCATGTTCTGTATTATAGCCTATTAAAGTAGGAGGAAAGAGACAAAGGGAAAAATTAAAAGACAGACAGAGACAGACACACAGAGAAAGACAGAGTAAGAAAGAGAAAAGGAAAAAAATAAGAGAAAGAAAGGAAAGAAGAAAGAGAGAAAAAGAAAGAGGGAAAGGAAGAAAGAAAAGCAGAAAGAGAAAGAATGAAAGGAAGGAATCAAAGAATGAAAGAAAGAAAGAGAATGATTGTGGGGTGGAAGAGTCCTGGAGAGAGAAGAGAGATCTCCTCCCATCTATCTAGCCTTTATAGTTTGTTGTAATCATTCACCTTTCAGCTGTGACTTTTACTTTCCAAAATCCATTACTCTAGTTTATTTTCCAGTTGGTTGGAATTTTCTCCTTGCTGTTCAGAGATGTGATGCTCAGCAGCCTAGCACCTACATTAGCGTCCTCCTACTGGACAATGACCACAACTTGATGTAGCTTGGGATTCCTAGGAACATATGTTTTGGCAGTCTGACCTGTGTCTTCTCCATCTTCTCTATGAATATGTCGTGAGAGACATTGCCAGATGCCTTGCTGAAATCTGTGTCTAGTCTGTCAAGGCATTTCCTAGATTTACTAGTCTGATAATAGTGTTAAAAAAAAAAGCAGATTAGGCTAGGAAGACCTAGTCTTGATGAACCCATGCTGGTTCTTAGTGATCACCCTTTCTAAGAGTTCACTAATCAGCCTTTCTTAAGAGTAGCAAGAAAGTGAGTAACTGAGACAAAACCCCATACTGTGTAGGATGTTGAGACTTTTGTCTTGCCATGATGTATCTCTTGTTTTGTATAGCAGAAAAAGGGAGAGTGGCAACCAATAGATGTACAAAGTTAGAAAATTTGCCACAAAATTGGTGAAGTGAAGCTGGTGGTCAGGGATTTGTTACCTGCCACAGATAACAGTTAAATCAAAAATTACTTCAGTCTGCAGGGATAATGATCATCTAAAATATTGAGCATTTGTAGACCATGCAGGGTGTTGTATAGCCAATGTGGGTCAGAATCTGCATGAAGGAAACATATCTATACTTTTTGAAATGGTTTTAAAAATTATAATAATCTGGCTACTTCTGGGACAGGTCACCTTGCTTAGGCTACTAGAACTAAAATTAGGGCAAAAATCCCACTCTAATGACATTCTATCAGCTCCCGCCTGGCAAAAGACTCTGAGAAGCTTTTCATGACCACTCGGGATAACCTGAGTAGAAGGCAAACACATTTCTCTGCTGCAGCAAATGTCGAATACTTGTAGTAAGGACATTTGAGTAAATCAAGGTGGGAAATGAATGAATGAATGAATGAACAACAACAAGAGCTAACAAATGTGGTCCCTACTATGTGCCAGGCACTGGGCACAGTGCTTTATGAGTATTACGTCATCTCATCTTTGTGCCCACTCCAGTAGGGGGTGTTATTAGTACTCTTCATTTTACAGGTGAGGAAACTGAGACAAAAAGAGGTTACGTGACTAGTTTACCTAGTAAGGAGACTGAAGCAAGGATGAGGTACAATACCAGGGAAGAGCTGCATGTATGAGGAACAGCAAAGAGCCCTGTTCACTGTAGTATTCTTGGAGGGGAATAATGTGCAGTGAGGTTGAAAAGGTAAGTTGGGGCCGGGTTATGAAGGTTTTTAAAAGCCCAACAGAGGAGTTTACGTATGAGATCCTGAAAGTAATACAGAACCATAGTTTGTTGAGTTGGAGAATGATATGTTCAGCTTATCACTTTAGGAAAAATCACTTTGGTTGTTGTCTTTTGTGTGTCTGACTGTGGCTGATCAGTCCAGTCACTCTGGTAGCTAGTGAGGGCTGAATTGGAGAGAGTAGACTGGAGGCAGGGATATTGCAATATTCCAGGCAAAATAGTGATGAAGGCATCGACCAGAGTGGTGGATACATGAGTGAAGAGAAGGAAGCAGTTGTGAAAGCTGCTCTAGGGGTAGCTAGGTGGCACAGTGGATAGAGCACTGGCCCTGGAGTTCGGAGGACCTGAATTCAATTCTGGCCTCAAACACTTGACACTTACTAGCTGTGTGACCCTGGACAAGTCACTTAACCTGATTATCTCACCCCCCCCCAAAAAAAAAGAAAGCTAATGTAGAGATAGGAATGATTAGGCAACTAGTTAGATTTGAGGATAAGAAAATAGTTAGGAATTAAGGATCACACTGAGGCTGCAAACCTTAGTGACTGGAAGGTGGGTGGTTTCCTCCACAGAAATAGGGGAGGACAGAAGAAGGGGCAGTTTGGGTGAGGAAGGTAGTGAATTCAATGTTGGATGTAATGAGTTTGACATGTCTACAGAAGTGTTAAGGGTAGTGTTTATCCTGTTATTTTCCTTTCATTTTGTGATCTAAGGTGGAAAGAATCCAGGATTTTGGTCAGGATTCCTGAGTCCTAGGCTTAGTCTGAGACTTAACCATTTCTGACTTTACGTGAGTCACTTAATCTTTCTCAGATTCTTCATGTATAAAATGAGAGGAGAGGACTGGACAGTTTCTAAGATCCCTTGACTGTAACAGGCTATGATTCAGTAAAATTAGATACAGAACAATGGCAGAAGGTTAAATTTTCCCAAGCAGTGTTTTGACAAGCCCTTTCTTCATCTCTTCACCTGCATTAAAGGAGAGTTGCTTTTCTTCCTTCCTTCCTTCCTTCCTTCCTTCCTTCCTTCCTTCCTTCCTTCCTTCCTTCCTTCCTTCCTTCCTTCCTTCCTTCCTTCCTTCCTTCCTTCCTTATTTATTTATTTATTCATTCATTCATTTATTTATTTTTTGGAAGGGATTCTGAGGCAGAGCAGGAGCTACTTAAACAACAGTTTTGTTATGAGATCAAGAATATGTGTTAGTGAATGCAGTTTGTGAGACTGACATCAATGAAAAAGAGCAGAAGCACTTTGCTGGGGATCTGAACTTTGCAACAGATCCTATGAGGCCTCAGGGTGTTAGCTTCCATTTTACAGAGAAGTATTTTATGAAACCAACATGAATTAAAGTCCATTCTAAGGAATATCAGTCACGTCTTCTTCTAGGGTTCCCTTATGAAGGATCTTGAAGCAGAAGGTGAAGAATTTGATCCTGATAAATGTCCCATCAAAATAAAATTACAGGCAAAAGTATGGTCCCCAATATAGGAGTAGTTTGGTGAAGTCTTCATTCTATGTCTGGAATACGAGGGTGATATCTGAAGGCAGGAAGGTGTGATATATTCAGGGAAAGAAGGATAAGCCATGTGAAGCTTTAGTATGTGTGTATCATGTGTGTACCATAAGGGTATGTGTACACCTTTCCCACTGCTCAAATTAACTGCAGTTCTTTGTATAATTGTTTTATTTTGTTTTGACTCAATAATCATTTCCCCACAAACAACAATCCTACATAGGATTGTTTCAGACTTAGGGGAAAAAAAGAAAGCTAAGGAAAGTCACATGATGTAAGGATTGCTACTGAGCTTATGTAGCTTTCTATTCTTATTGAGTATACCTCTTATTGTTCAGTCATTTCAGTCGTGTCTGACTCTCCGTGATGCAGTGTGGGGTTTTCTTGACAAAGATACTGGAGTGTTTTGCTGTTTTCTTCTCCAGATCATTTTACAGTTGAGGAATTGAGACAAAACAGGGTTAAGTGACTTGCCCAGTGTCACATAAATAGTAAGTGTCTGAGGCTGGATTTGAACTCATGAAGATGAGTCTTCCTGATTCCAGGTTTGGTACTCTTTCCATTGCACCACCTAGTAACCCACAAAAAACAACAGACAGATACTCTCATCGTTTGGTCCCTATGTGAAGTAGGAAGACTAGGACTTCAAGACATCATAATCCTTTAGGTTCCTTTGGTGAAAAGATGCAAGAGATAACTTGCCCTATAGCCATTCAGTTTATCAGAAATATGTCCTTATCTTGGCCTCCCTCCTTGTGGCCACTTCATTACCAGGATGTAGATGTAGGGCCACCTGACGTATTTGTGACTGTGATGAAGGAGAATGATGTGTGGAATGGGACAGGAAACAGTACTGATAGAGGAGAAAGTACACTGACGCCTCCCCTTCATTTTTATTCTCCTAGAACAAGGAGTGTATGTTGAGTGTCTTTGGGCATGGATGTTTTTGACATGGGCTGTAAGGGAATTTGGTGTCTAAGGTTTCTCTTATTCCTGCTCCCCTTTATAGGCCTTATTGTGAGCAATGGAGAGAGATGGAAGCAAACCCGCCGCTTCTCCCTCATGACCCTGAGGAATTTTGGGATGGGGAAGAGGAGCATTGAAGAGCGAGTCCAAGAAGTGGCAAAGTATCTTGTGGAGGAATTAAAAAAAACAAAAGGTTGGTGTTTTTTTACTTTGTTACCACTGACCTTAGAAATATGCTTCCTATCCCTGGTACCTTATAGAGACTGAGGTTGGTCCAAGGAATTTACTGTAGTCTGAAACTACCATGTTTTCACTTTTCGGCCCATGCTGGGGATATGTTCCTGGCTGTGTGGTCATTCCTAGAAGCTTTGAAGGATGAGGACAGCTGAGATAAGAGATGAGAGGCAGTTCATCTCTGCTAATGAGTTCATGCTAATCTTGTGAGGAGGCAGCATGGCGAGGAACATTTAGGGGGATGACTATACATGTTTTTATTCCTTTTCATATGCCGCATAGCTCAGAAGAACCTAGCAGCACCAGTTCTGTTCTGCTGGTGAACAGTTCCTGGGGAAGAAGGCATTGCTTTAGGATCATTTGGGGGAATCCAGGGATTTTCTTGATATTTTGGTGACTAGCAGAAGGAATGGAAGCAGGGCTGAGAATATTGCTAGGAAGTCAATGAGCTGACTCAGCAGCATCTCTTGGAAGCTCTTTTCCTTTCATGCTTCTTCTTCCTCCTCTCCCATCTAAACTATCTAGCAGAGTGGTTATCCTTCTATGAAATTTGAAACTTAGGGAGCCACAGGGCACTGGAGGAGGGTATAAATAGACATGCTGATGCCATAAATTCGATGGAATAACTACTTTTTGAAGTGTAAAAGGCAAAACCTGTGTGTACTCTGTGTGTGTGTGGTGTGTGTGTGTGTGTGTGTGTGTGTTAGGTGTCAGGAACTGGGCAGTAGTAGGGTACTATCAGACGTTGCTCATAATTAGCCATACGTACTTTCCTGCCCCAGAATATTTCACCAGGACTAATATAGGAATAAACTGTGAACACTGTTGCCCCACCATGTTGGAATCTGGGACTTTTGCCCCTCCTCTGTTCGATGTTGTCTCCACAATTATGATGTAAGCTGTCTCAGGACAGGGGCTGTTTCACTTTTGTCTGTGTGCCCCTGGTGCTTAGCACAGAGCCTAGTAAGAGCTGAGTGACTGCTGGTGGATTGGCTCATTGATACTCTCTTCTCCCTTGCCTTTGTCATGCTGACCTCCATGGGTTCTTCTTCATGTCTGATTTTTGCTTCTCTATGTTCTTTTGCTGGATCATTATCCACTTTAAATCCCCTAAGTGTGAATATCTCCAAGACTCTGTCCTTGGGCCTCTTTAATATAAGTACCACCTTGACCACCATCTGCCCTCTGACCCTGGTGGAGGCAGCCCAGGACCTCCAAACCCAAGAGCCTGGGTTTCACTCCAGTGCGTGCAGTCTCTCTCTCTTTCTCTCTCTCTTTTTTTTTTTTTTTAGCCAAAGACAGGTTTTATTAGAACATCTGTCATATTGGGCAGACTCTTTTTTTTTTCCTTTTTAAATATAAATTTATTTATTTTTAGTTTTCAACATTTACTTCCACAAGATTTTGAGTTCCAAATTTTCACCCCATCTCCCCTCCCCCCACCCTAAGATGGCATGCATTCTGAATATCCCTTCCCCTAGTCTGCCCTCTCTTTTATCTCTCCCCCTCTTCTCTTATCCCCTTCCCCTTCTATTTTCCTGTAGGGCAGGATAGACTTCTGTACCCCATTTCCTGTATTTCTTATTTCCCAGTTGCATGTGAAAACGTTTTTTTTTTAAATATATGTTTTTAAAACTTTGGGTTCCGAATTTTCTCCCTTCCTCCCTCCCCACCCACCCTCATTGAAAAGGCAAGCAACTCAATATAGGTTATACATGTGCAGTTATGCAAAACACTTCCGTAGCAGACATGTGAAAAATTAACTCTATTTCCCTTAATCCTATCCTGCCCTCCCATTTATTCTATTCTTTCTTTTGACCCTGTCCCTCCTCAGAAGTATTTGCTTCTGATTACACCCTTTCCCAATCTGCCCTCCTTCTCTATCATCCCCTGCTCTCTTGTCCCCTTCTCCCCCTATTTTCCTGTAGGGTAAGACAGATTTCCATACCCAATTGAATATGTATGTTATTCTCTCCTTAAACCAAATCCTATGAGAATAAGATTCCCTCATTCCCTCTCACCTTCCCCTGTTTCCCCTCCACTGTGAGAGACTTTTCTTTTTTTTTTTTTTTGTGAGATAATTTACCCCATTCTACATTTCCCTTTCTTCTCCGAGTATAATCCTCTCTCATCCCTTAATTTTATTCTCCAGATATGACCCGTTAATCTTCAACTCACCCTGTGCCCTCTATCTATCTATCTATATATACATATATACAATTTTTTTCCTTCCACTACCGTAATACTGACAAAGTTCATGAGTTACAGATATCATCTTTCCATGCAGGAATGTAAACAGTTCTTAATAAGTCTCTTATGATTTCTCTTTCCTGTTTATCTCTTCATGTTCCACTGGAGTCCTGTATTTGAAAGTCAAATTTTGTGTTTAGCTCTGGTCTTTTCATCAGGAATGCTTGAAAGTCCTCTATTTCACTGAATGACCATTTTTTCCCCTGAAGGATTATACTCAGTTTTGCTGGGTAGGTGATTCTTGGTTGTAATCCTATCTCCTTTGCCCTCCAGAATATTATATTCCATGCCCTGCGGTCCTTTAATGTAGAAGCTGCTAAATCTTGTGTTATCCTGATTGTGTTTCCACAGTACTTGAACTGTTTCCTTCTGGCAGCTTGTAATATTTTCTCCTTGACCTGGGAACTCTGGAATTTGGCTACAATATTCCTAGGAGTTTTCCTTTGGGGATCTCTTTCAGGAGGAGATCAGTGGATTCTTTCAATTTCTATTTTGCCCTCTGGTTCTAAATATCAGGGCAGTTTTCCTTGATAATTTCTTGAAAGATGATGTCTAGGCTCTTTTTTTGATCATGGCTTTCAGATAGTCCAATAATTTTTAAATTTCTCTCCTGGATCTATTTTCCAGGTCAGTTGTTTTTCCAATGAGATATTTCACATTGTTTTCTAATTTTTCATTCTTTTGGATTTGTTTTACGTGTCTTGATTTCTCATAAAGTCACTGTCTTCCAATTGCTCTATTCTAATTTTTAAGGAAGTATTTTCTTCAGTAATCTTTTGGACTTCCTTTTCCATTTGGCCAATTTTTCTTTTTAGGGCATTTTTCTCCTCATTGGCTTTTTGGACCTCTTTTGCCATTTGGGTTAGGCTGTTTTTTAAGGTGTTATTTTCTTCAGTATTTTTTTGGGTCTCCTTTAGCAAGCTGTTGACTTGTTTTCATGATTTTCTTGCATCACTCTCATTTCTCTTCCCAGTTTTTCCTCTGCTTCCCTTACTTGCTTCTCAAAATCCCTTTTGAGCTCTTCCAAGTCCTGGGACTGATTCATATTTTTCTTGGAGGCTTTGAATGTAGGAGCTTTGATTTTGTTGTCTTCTTCTGGTTGTATATTTTGATCTTCTTTTTCACCAAAGTAAGATAATATAGTCTGACTCTTTTTGCGCTGCTTGCTCATGATCCCAGCCAATTACTTGAGTTTTAAATTCTTTGTTAAGGTGAGAGTCTGCTTCCAGTGTGGAGAGTGTACTGTCCCCAGCTTCGGGGGTTTGTGTAGCTGTTTTCAGAGATACTTGTAGGGACCTGTAAATTTTCAGTTCTTCCAAGGTGGTATGATAAGGGGTGAGGTGTTTACTCCTTTCCTGGCCTGTGAGCACAAGTATTCCTTTCTGTCCCGTAACTGTGAGGAGGGGTTCCTGTCCACAGCCACTATAAGCTCCACCACGCCAGCGCTCCTTCTCACGCCAGCACTGCTGCCCAGAAGTGTGACCCAGATCCACACACGGGCAAAGCAAGAGATTCCTGCCTGAGCACTGGCAAAGAGATCCCTGCAGTCCCTCTCTGATCAGCCACTGGATTCCCCCTCAGTCTGTGGGCCTGAAGCTCAGGAAGCAGCTCCCCCCCCCCCCCCGCCAGCCTCTTGGGGGAGTGGAGCTGAAATCCCGCCTTCCTGTCTGACCACCGACAGAAACAGACTTTTCCCACTGACCTTCTAAGTTGTCTTTGGCATTGGTGGATTGAGGAGTCTGGAAACCTCCACAGCTTCCCGCGATTCAGTCCTCTGAGGCCTGCTGCAGGTTTGCTGCGGCATGTGTGCCCATGCTGCGCTCCCAGCCTGGTACGATACACCTTTCTGATCAATCATCCAGGTTGTCTTGGGCTGGACGTTTGTTTCACTCTGTCTTTTTGTGGGTTCTGCTGCTTCAGAATTTGTTTAGAGCCATTTTTTATGAGTATTTGGAGGGGTTTGGGGGAGAGTTCAAGCAAGTCACTGCTTTCACTCTGCCATCTTGGTTCCGCCCCTCCTCTGCTTCTCTTACTTGCTTCTCAGAATCCCTTTTGAGCTCTTCCAAGGCCTGGTACTGATTCATATTTTTCTTGGAGGCTTTGGATGTAGGAGCTTTGACTTTGTTGTCTTTTTCTGGTTGTATATTTTGATCTTTTTTGTCACCAAAGTAAGATAATATAGTCTGACTCTATTTGTGCTGCTTGCTGATGATCCCAGCCAATTAATTGAGTTTTAAACTCTATGTTAAGGTAAGAGTCTGCTTCCAATGTGGAGAATGTACTGTTCCAAGCTTTGGGGGTTTGTACAGCTGTTTTCAGAGATACTTCTAGGGACCTGTAAATTTTGAGTTCTTCCAAGGTGCTATGATAAGGGACAAGGGTTTTACTCCTTTCCTGGCCTGTGCTCTGGTCTGTTAGTGACCACAAGCACTCCTTTCTGTTCTGGAACCATGAGGACGGTTTTCTCTGCACAACCACTACAAGCTCCACCGTGCCAGCTCTCCTACTTGCCCCAGTATCGCCACCCAGAACTGTGACCCAGATCCAAGTATGGGCAAAGCAAGAGATTCCTGCCTCAGCACCAGCAGAGAGATGCCTGCAATCCCCCTCTGATCAGCCACTCTATTCCCACTCAGTCTGTGGGCCAGAAGCTCAGGAGGCAGCTGCTCCCCCAGGGACACACTCTTGGGGAAGTCGAGCCGCTACCCAGTGCTCCTCTTTCAGCATTGCATAAACAGACTTTTCCCACTGACCTTCTAAGTTGTCCCTGGTGTTCCTGGGTTGAGAAGTCTGGAAGCCACCACAGCTTCCCACAATTCAGTCCTCTGAGGCCTGCTCCAGGTTCACGGCAGCCTGCGCGCCCAAGCTGTGCTGTGTTCCTCTCCCAGCCTGGGGCAATATACCTTTCTGATCAATCATGCAGATTGTCTTGGGCTGGAAATTTGTTTCACTGTGTCTTTTTGTGGGTTGTGCTGCTTTAGAATTTGTTTAGAGCCATTTTTTATAGGTATTTGGAGGGGTTTAGGGGAGAGCTCAAGCAAGTCACTGCTTTCACTCCTCCATCTTGGCTCCGTCCTGCTGGGCAGACTCATAAGGAGTCTGAACATTAGTAAAATATTGGTTAGATTTTAAGAATCTGAGCAGTGGCTAGATTAGAAGAATCTAAGCCGGCAGTCTCTCTCTTGTGGAGATGCAGCCTTGCAGCTTCTCCCATAGATGCTGTGCCACACATATTGAAATATATTTAGAAAATGAATGCAAAGTAGTTTGGGTAGGAGGAATACCTGAATGATCCAGGCTAGTCAAACTACCTCCACCTTAATGATCATCTCTCCTCTGACCCTGATGGAGATAGCCCAGGCCCTTGAACCCAAGACCTTGGGAATAGCAGTGTCCTGCCCATCTCCAAATCAATTCTATCCTAATCTGTTTAGTTCTCACTAAGACAGTAAATCATTGTGGAGAAAGGGCCCATCTTTCTCATTACCACTAGCAGCCACTGATGACTAGCTGTCACCAACAGGTAGATAAGTACATGGGCCACAAGGGTGGCAGCAATCTGTAGACCACTTCTTCTAATCTAGTCTTCATAGCTCTCATCTGTGAAGCTGGTCCTGTGGAGAAGGTACTGGTCATTCCTACCAGTTGGCTGCCAATTCCCAGTCATTGCTATTCATAAAGCAGTTGGGCCAGCCTGGCTAAAGCAGTGGGGCACCCTGAGGGATAGACAAAAGACAGTATATGCCAGTCAAGAAAACCTAGCATCACAGCCTTGACATGATCACTCCTTAGACTGCCCAGGACCCTGAACCTAAGAGGATTTGGAATAGCAAGGCTTCTAGCCCAGTGTTTGCAACCCTCATCCTGGATTACTGATTGAAATATAATGAAATATAATTTAATGATATACATGAAGAAGTATGAAAGCAGAAGCTGGTTAGTGTGAGGTGATGAATAGGGATTTAGAAATGGGAAGTGATGTGGTATGGTAGGTAGAGCACTATATTTGGGGCCAGCGGAGAAATTGGGTTGAATTCCATTTCTTGATCCTTCCTAGTTTTGGCATAAATCATCTAATTTTCTTGAGCCTCAGCACCCTTGTCTATAAATGAGAATTATCGTATTTGCACTTAGGATTTTTATGTGGATCAAACCAGATGCTTCGTAAAGGGTGGTTTAATTTCAACCTGACTGTACCAAATAAATGTCAGCTGGAATATAAACTAGAGGGAAAATCAGGTCCTACCTAAAGGCAGGTGAACATTCTTTTTGATCACAATGGCAACATTAAAGTCTTTCTCTCTCTCTTTCTTCTTTAGGACTACCATGTGACCCCACATTCATCCTTGAGTGTGCTCCTTGCAATGTAATTTGCTCTGTCATTTTCCAGAAACATTTTGAATATAAAGATCAGAAATTTCTATATTTAATGAAGCTTTTAAATGAAAACATCAAGATCGCAAGTTCCCCATGGATGCAGGTGAGACCACTGTTCTCTCTTTTTGGAGCTCAGGATATTTTTTTTTGTCATTAGTTCAAAGAAACTACTGGATGAAGCTAGGCTAGAATTCATCATATATTCCATTGGGAGGTACAACAGTGCCACGCTGGGATCGGTTCAGATGTTCTTCTTTGCTGACAGGAATAAAGACAAAGACAGTCACCACCATGTGGTCAGATTTGAGGGACATTATAAGGCCCATCGCTGGAGTAGCTCACCCACTGGTCGCGGAGACTGAATGTTAAAATTCATGTTACTAGAGACAAGCTGACTTTTCCCTTGTGCACCCAAGTTTGGATCAGGTTAGCATGTGGACTAGCTGTGATAGTGGAAGGTGGGAGGCAGAACTCTTAGAAGACCTCATAACGAGAAAGGATGAAAACTTACTTGTGGGAAGTAAGAATTGAGAGTGAAGGCCAATGGAAGCTCAGACAACTAAGGAACCGAATGCTACAATATCTTAGGGGGTTGGTATAGCAAATGGTGAGAAAAGTCACTGTTTTGCAAAAAGCATTTGTTCTACCCTTATTCAGCCCTCTTTTGAACATTAACCAAATGCTAGGTAGAGAATTATTTTCTTTTTTGAATAAAGTATGATAGGAAATTTTTCTTTTTAGGTCTACAGTTCTTTTCCATCTTTAGTACATTATCTCCCTGGATCTCATCACAAAATAGTTAAAAATGTTCGTTTACAACATGAGTTTATTTTGGAAGAAGTGAAGGATCACCAAAGGACACTGGACCCCCACAGTCCTCTGGATTTCATTGACTGTTTCCTGATGAAAATGGAGCAGGTAGAGTGTGAGCAGGAGGTCTGAGTCTTAGTTCTTATAGGTGAAATGGCTTGTGTATTAGAGGCTGACGTTCACATTCACAAACATAGAGCAGTAAATAATCATGTGTCAATCCTAGTGCGCTCAGAACACCTTATGGGGTAAACTGAAGAATGAGAAGATAGAGTCCTAGCCCTAATGGAATTTCTAACTCAAGAGGCAGAAGGAAGCACATGTAAGGACTAGAGAATAATTATCAGGAATGTGTAAGGAAAGCTGAAATACATTATAAATTGAAGATTTATGTGATGAAGGAATTTGGTGTTAGTAAGAAATATAATATTTAGTGACTTCCTTTTCAAAGAGTTAGGTTTGTTTTGTTTTGTTTCTTTAAGGTGATCAGGGATTTATTTTTTAAAACGACTTGCAAACTATGCCCTTAAAAGTGGTATAGATCTGGCACCATCCCCTGTAATATCTGTACAAACACTGTACAGTGAAAATTGATGTTCAAAATAATTGTGTTGATGATAACCTCAAAGGACCGCAGTGCAGTCCTTTCTTCAAAGATTCCATGAGGTTTCCTTTTCTATCTTTCCTAAGGTTGGAAAGTAGACTAATATTTATTGCTTCCTTTTCCCAGTAGAATGTTAAGCTCCTTGAGAGCAAGGACTGTTTCAATGTCTTCCTTGTAGGCCTAGCCCTTAGCAGAATGCTTTGCACACAGTAGGTGCTTAATAAATGCTTGTTGATTGATTTGCCAAATGTTAAGTGCTTATTCTGTGCAGAGCACTGTGCAAGGTACTGAGGATCATACACAATTTTCAGTCTCTGACCTCATGGAAATTATTAAAATATTTTCAATTTTTAAACAGTTAATATTTATTTTTAATGTTATTTTCTTTTTAAATTTTGAATTCAAAATGCTTCCCCTTCCTCCCAGCCCTCCATTACCCACTGAGAAGGCAAGCAAAGTGGTCTCAGTTATGCATATGAAATCATGCAAAACATATCCATAGTAGTCCTATCACAAAAAAAGCAAAAAAAAAAAAAGAAACCAAGAAAATTATACTTCAGTTTGCACTCAGAGTTCCTTGTCTCTAGAGGTGGATGGCATTTTTTCATAATGAGTCCTTTGGAATTATCTTGGATCGTTGTATTGATCACAGTGGCCATCTTTCACAGTTAATCATCATTACAACATTGCTTTCCTGTGCAGAATGATTTCCTGGTTCTTCACACTTAACTTTGCATAAGTTTGTATAGGTGTTGCCATCTTTTCCCCCTAAAACTATCCCTGACATAATTTGTTATAGCACAGTAGTACTTCATCACAGTCATTTGCCATAACTTGTTTAGCCATTACCCAATGATGAGCATCCCCTCAACTTCTAATTCTTTGGGACCAGAAATAAAGCTGCTGTAAATATTTTTGTACTGAGAGGCTCTTTCCCTTTTCGTTTAATTTCTTTGAGGTACAAACCTGGTAGTGGTACTGCCAGGGCAAAGTGTATGCAAAGTTGTGGAACCCTTTGGGCATAGCTCCAAATTGTTTTCCAGAATGGCTGGACCAGTTCACAACTCCACCAGCAGTTTATTGGTGTACCTATTTTCCCTCATCCTGTCCAGCGTTTGTCATTTTTGATAGGTAGGAGGTGGTAACTCAGAGTTGTTTCAGTTTGCATTTTGCTGATAATTGTAAAGCACTTAGCACAGTGCCTGGCACATAATAAGTACTGTGTAAATGTTAGCCATTGGTATTAGGATCAAATGACAAAGTGATCGTAAAGCACTTAGCACAGTGACTGGCACATAGTAGATGCTATAGAAATGTTAGCTATTCTTATTATTATTCAAGGTTCGCATGGTAAACTAGAAGAGCTACCTATTCTCTATTCACTTGAAACCTATACCACTAGTACAGAGCTGCACTAAATCACATTTGCACTGACCCATGAATCCCTTCCTTCCTGAACCTCATAAAAGAAGCCACCGAAACAAGATAATATGTTGCCACAATGGGAATACTGTCATCTTCTCCCTGGTGGAAGCAGCACCTGTATCTGTAAAGTAAAACCTGAATGAACTCTAATATTCAGAAAGGAAAATGTGTTCCAGTTATCTGGTTCAACCCAAATCTGCCTATGTGCCTCAACCACTGCTCCTGAAAATCTTAGTGTGTTTATTATATTTAAAATATGTCATGTTCCCCAACTGATAAATTGTCAAGGGATATGACAAGCAGTTTTCAGAAGAAGAACTCAAAGCTTTCTATAGTCCTGTGAAGAAATACTGTAAATTATGCATGATAAGAGTTAGGTTTTGACCTGGGTCTTGAAGGAGGTCCTAGAGCTAGGCAGTAAAGACTGGGCAGGACATTTTGGGACTCTACAAAGACAGTGAGGTATAGGGAACTTTAATCTGAGCAGCCTGATTGGAATGGAGGGGCTGCTGTGTTAAGTATTTGGGCAGGGGGGGATGGTGGGTTTTACAGTCAAGATGGTGGAGTTAGAGGCTCTTCATTTTCCATCCCCTCCACAAACAACACAGAGCAAAACAAAAAGGAAGAAAAATCATTGCAAAGTTACATAAAGAAGAAAAATCAACCAAATTAGAAACAAAAAAAAAGCAATATGCCAGTGTAATTGATGTGGAGTAAATGAAGCCCTAGAAGTACCAGAAATATGGAAGAAGGTAAAAGGATATGCTGATGGACATCCTAAAATGGATCCCCACTTAGAGGAATGAAGTATACTCTGCGGTCACCACTTACAGTTTTCTTAGCAGACCAACCAGAAAACACATTAATTCAAAGCAAAACATTTAATTTAGCAGTGTGTCAACATAACTGACCAGGTAAATCCTTCCTTCATCAACCTACGCACATAAGAATATATTCTCCCACAGATTCCTACCCCATTGCTGGATGAGGGAATATAGCAGAGGGCAAATATGTAGACCAGAGCAAGAGATTTTTAGAAGTATTACATATAGTAGTCTCTTGTAATGTTCTCTGTTTCCTGTGTTAAAGTCTTAATAATGCCATATCCTTTCCCCACCTCATCACCCACATGGTTATATAGAGTTGACTTGAACTTGAATTATGTCCTCTACCACCTTCCTGCTTTTCCTATGTTTTTACCTTTCTTATGTTTAGTCCATTGGGTATTTGTTATATATTCAGTTTTTGACGTCAGTGGTGACTTTTCCTCAATACCAACATTTCATGGTCGAGGGCAAAGCATTTAGCCTCTCAATTTCCTCATTAGTAAAATGACAATAATAATGCACTATCTATATCACAATATTTTGATGACGATAAAATGGGAAAATATACATGGATTCTTTTTGTTTATATATATATATATATATATATATATGTAAGTTGATTATTTTTTTTCCTTCGTCATTTGCTAAACTAATAAATTCTGTTTATCTCACTGAACTCATATAGAGGAGCAGGATTTATTAGCTTAGTAAATCAGGAGGAAAATACAATAGCTCACATTTACACAGTGCTTGTGTATTTGTTGTTTAGTCATTTCAGTTGAGTCCAACTCTTCATGGCTCCATTTGGGGTTTTCTTGGCAAAGATACTGGAGTGGTTTTCCATTTCCTTCTCCAGCTCATTTTACAGATGAAGAAACTGAGGCAAACAGGGTTAAGTGACTTGTCCAAGGTCACACAGCTATTAAGTGTTTGAGGCCAGATTTGAATGCAGGAAGATGCTATCTTGCGAGATAGCATGATGCAGTACAATTGTGTCAAACATGAATAGAAATGGATCCTGGTAGGCCTCATATTAACTTAGAAGATCCACAAATTAACGTTCTCTATGTTGTATTGTATCTTTATTTTACTAATTTCCTAATAACATTTTAATTTGGTTTCGGCCACACACAGTTTTGTTGGTTGCTTGTGGCCTGAGGGCTGAGAATTTGACACTCCTGATGTAGTAGATAAAAAACTGGCTTCAGAGCCAGGCAAAACTGAGTTCAAGTCCCCTCTCTGACACAAAATGTCTATGTGATCCTGGGCAAGTCACTTAACACTATAGTGCCCTAGGGCTAGGCGACTCTCTTGAGACTTTTAGAGAAGTTTTTTAGAGAAATCGCAGACTTGCGTTGGTAGAAAGAATTATTTTACCTGGAAATTCCCTGTGCCAATGAAATTGCAGCGCTCTCTCTCTCTCTTTCTGTCTCTCTCTGTCTTTGTCTCTGTCTCTGTCTCTGTCTCTCTCTCTTCTCTCTCTCTCTCTCTCTCTCTCTCTCTCTCTCTCTCTCTCTCTCTCCTCTCCCCTCTCCCCTCTCTCTCCTCTCCCCTCTCTCCTCTCTGTGTCTCTTTCCCATAATATCTGCAAGAGCCAAACTGCCTTGATAATTGCCAGCTTCTTGTTTCACTTTGGATTGTGTTGCTCAACCTTAATTTATTTATAGGATCATAGATTTAGACCTACAAGGAATCTTGGAGGTCATTGAATCCCACTGCCTCATTTTACAGATGAGGAAACTGAAACATAAAAAGGTTAAATGACTTGCCCAAGGTCAAGATCAGAGCTGGGGGTGTGGTGAGGGCAGCTAGGTGTCACAGTGGATAGAGCACTGGCCCTGAAGTCATTAGGACCTGCTTTCAAGTCTGGCTTCATTTACTTATGGGTTGTGTGACCCTGGTCAAGTCACTTAACCCTGATTGTTTCCCCACAAAAAATAAAAAAAACCCCCATCAGAATTGGGATTCAAACCAAGGTCCTCTGCCTCCAAATCCGTCATGCTTTCTCTTGTGCCCTGCTGCCTCCCTTACTTTTCCATTAATCATACCAAATTATTCCTAGGAAAAGCAACAACCACAGTCTGAATTTACCATTGAAAACCTGGTCTGCACTGTAGCTGACCTATTTGCTGCTGGAACAGAGACAACCAGCACCACCCTGAGATATGGACTCCTGCTTCTCCTGAAACACCCTGAGATAACAGGTGGGATTACAGGCTGATATCACACATCATTTGGTCAGCATGAAACGGTCCTAGTCCTTTTGAGACTTTCCTTGGAAACTTTTCTGTTGCCATTTTAATATATTTAAGTCATTACAGGGTCATGTTTACTTATTCCTCCTCCTCCACTACTGACTCCACTCTGCTCAATTAAGTGCTATGTAATTATGAGTTTTCCTTACAGATAGGCACAGAGATAATGATAGGGATAGAGACTGTAGCCCAGTGCTGGAACTGGGAGGAACTGCATGATTGAGAGGCACTAGTTCCTGATAGCTTCTTGATCCTGCCTGACCATAGGAGGAGCTGGTGCCTCTGGATTCCTGTCACTCATACAGCCACACAGGGAAGTACCTTGGGCCTGTGGTTGGTCACATTGAGTTCTGGAACAGGTCAGGACTGAGACCCCTCGTCATTTCCTTAACCAAGTGCTTCTTGGCCTGTATTTTTTTAAGAACAACTTGAGCCAGTCCTGAGGGCGTGGGGCATAGGTGCCTCAAGGAATTCTCAGATGGCTTAAGAGACTAAAATGGAATTTTTATCTGTCTGTCTGTCTGTCTGTCTGTCTATCTATCTATCTATCTATCTATCTCCTTACCAGAACGTGAAGGTCAAGTGCATTATTTACCAATGTATTCTTGGCAAAAAATCATAGAAAATATGAGAGGAGGCAGTTTTTGTTCTATTTTTTAAGATGAATTGTCATTTGTATTGTGACAGGAAAAATTCATGAAGAAATCAATCATGTGATTGGCCGAGATCGAAGTCCCTGCATGAAGGACAGAAACAAGATGCCTTATACCAATGCTGTGGTACATGAGATACAACGATACATTGACCTTGTTCCAACCAACCTGCCCCATTCAGTGTCAGAAGATGTTCGGTTTAGACAATATCTTATCCCCAAGGTCAGAAGTGTTTCTTACTATAACACGAGATTTTGTACTGTCTCCCATTGAATTATAGAATCTTAGAGTTGGAGGCCAACCCACATCCCTGAGAAGTGGTCACAGAATTTCAGAATTTGAAGGGATTTCAATGGTCATATTGTCCATTCCCAATCCGAAAAAGAATTCCATCTACAGTATGCTCACCTCATGGTCATCCAGTCTTTGCTTAAAGACTTTCAATAAGGTGGAACCACTTTTTGCTGTGGCATTCCATTCTAATCTTGGACTGCCTTAATTTCAGAGAATTTTTTTTTTCTTGCATGAACCCTAAGTTTGCAGTTTTGTAACTTTAACCTATTGCTCTTGCTGTTCTCCCCTGGAACAAAACAGAGCAAAGTTTTTCTCTCTTTCTAGTGAAAGTCAATAAAGGGGCAGCTAGGTGGTATGGTAGATAGAGCACTGGCCCTGGAGTTAGGAGGACCTGAGTTCAAATCCAGCCTCAGACACATAACAATCACTAGCTGTGTGACTCTGGGCTAGTCACTTAACCCCAATTGCACCACCAAAAAAAAAAAAGTCCATAAAACACTTGAAATCAGCTATTATGTCTCCTGTTCTGTTGTGTCTTCTGTTCTCATCTAAATATTTCCATTTTCTTCAACCCATCCTCGCATGGCATGGACTTGTTATTCTTACCATTCTTTGCCCTCCCTTGAGTAGCCTCCAGCTTTTCAATGTCCTCCTAAAATATGACTCCAGAATGAATCCAATCCTCATTGATGAGCTGAGGAGCTCAGAGTTAGAGCGGAGCCCACGTCCAAGCTGTGTTTGAACTTTCAATATTTACCCTTGGTTTATGGTCAGTCAATCAGTTTTAAATCCGCCAATGTAATTGTAAGATGGTCTAACTTGTGTATTTCCATCATTTTCAGGAGAACACGAGCAGCTTCATCAAAAGCTTTGCTAAAATCTAAGGAAACACTATCTAAAGCATTCTCCTGATCTGCCAGTTTATTATCACACTCAGAAAAACAAAATAGTGATGATTCCACTCCAGATCTTTGTGACCACTACTTTCTTATCTAGTGTCATTTCCTTATTCCTTCCTTATCTCAATTAATGATCTCTTTAGAAATATGTTCTAGACTCAGTGCAAATTGAAGTATAGTTTTTTCATTTTATTTTTCTGGTACAGGTGTCTAGGTGCTCCCTTATTTTCTCCTTACTTCCATGGTGTATTCAATTCCTGTTAACCATGTTGATTTATTTATTCTCTCCTTTTCAGTTCAAAGATCATTCCCTTGGTCAGAAAAGAAAAGCAAGCAAAAGAAAAACTGAGAAGTTCTGTATCTGCTCTTGTCACTTGTCATCCTCATCCTATAGCCCTCTGAGTTGTGGAGTTATCCTTTCTTTAATCCGCCTCCTTTTTGCTTTTGGTGCCCTTTGTTAGCCTTACCAACCTCTGTTCATGGGCTTTACCACTTCTGTCCTTCTTATGGAACTGTGACATGCTTCTTTTACTCATCCTTGTCTTTGAAAAATCTAAGTTGTTTGGTGAGTTCTCTGTAATAATAACTGTTGTTTATAAAGTACTTTGAGGTTTGCTTTACATAGAAGATCTTATTTAATGTTTACAACAACTCTGTGTCAGTAGATGCTATTATTGTCCCCATTTTTACAGGTGAGGAAACTAAGTCTTAGAGAGAACAACTGGCTCTCCTAGGGGTCATGCAGCTAGTAAGTGTGTGTCAGGAGTTGTACTAAGGTTTTTCTGACTTCAGGTCTAGTAGTCTCTTTACTGCACCACCTGGCTACCTTATCCACATTGATATCTTTAGAGAGTGTTCCTTTTTTCCATCTTCATTATTTTTCTTTGTGTTTTCAGATCAGAAACTAACTCTTGTCTTTCCTGCTGATAATAATAATAGCTAGCTTTAAGGCTTGTGAAGCACTTTAAAAATATTATATCTTTTTATCCTTATAACAACCCTGAAATGTAGGTGCTATTACCATTGTTATTATTTTACAAATAAGGAAACTAAGTCTGAGAGAGGGTAAGTGATTTGGCCAGGGTCACATAGCTAGTGAGTGTCTGAGGCCAGATCAGTTCTTTCTGAGTACACATCCTGTACTTTACTCATAGGGTCACTTAGTTACCTTTGTTACGTACTCTAAGATGGACTGATCACTTTCTCAAAAATTCCCATCATTCCCATCCATAGGTGTACACAGAAAGTGTGCCAAGTGTGGTAGCATAGCCTTCAACACAGCATGATCCCTTCAGTGGAAGAATGTTGTATCACAGGGATTCTACAGATCCATATTCACATCTGTGTTCTTCAGGTTCCTCTCATATGGTGAGAATTGATCAATGAAAGAATTTCCCTTTTTTGGTTTTACTATAATTGCAGGATGAAATTATTATTAAGAAAAGTCAAGGAATTATGAACTGCTCTGTTTTTCACAGAGAGGAAACTCAAGGATCCAAATGAATAATTGAAGTTTTCATCACTGCTATATCGTGTCTAACCACCAGGGTTTATAATCTGTCTTCTGTATTCCTTGTCTATTTCTTCTTTCTGTCCATGTGGTCTGTTGAATACTCTCATGATAATGTCACTCTTGATGTTGCCTCCATTTCTCTTTACCTAGATGCTTCTCATCATTCTTCTTTCCTCTGCTTCCTAAATAGCCTCACATGAATATATATTCTTAATATATACTACCCCACCCTCTTTTTCCTGTCCTATTTCTTTTGAATAAGATATACTCTTTCCAGAACTTCAGTCTTGTTAGGCATCTCATACTGCCAAGTCCTAGTTATAACTTTCAGGTCAAATTTGCTTCTTTGTCTTAAAATCTCCAATCCATCTTTTTTTTTTAGCCATACTTTAAGCACTGAAAAACCCTTTTGATTATATTTGTGAGAAGTCAAAAGAATCATCTTTCTAGCGTTTGCTAGGTACATCATTCCATTCCTGGCTCGGAGTCTGTTGTTCCTATATTTTTATTAAGATGTGGTCCAGAAATCCAAATCTCATTCTCAAACACCCTCTTACAAGATGTCCACTTCTGAACTCTGCCTTTCCTTTCTGAATCTTTTGTTTCCAATTATAACCATGATGAATACACCACCTGTGCTCCTAAAATCTTTAGGTTTTTTTTTTTTGTTCTTATTTTCAAAACCTTTGGAAATGCTTCCCAGATTCCTTATGGTATTATTTTTGCCTCTGTGAATCACCAGAGGTGGTTAGTAGTCATCCCCTTTGACAAGTCTTGGGAAGTTCTCCATTATGTCTTTGATATATGCTGTGAGAATATGGCAGACCTATCCATTTTAGTCATTGTCAGCAAACAACTGTTTCAGTATCCTTCCACAGGGAGCCACCAGCCTTGATTCTTTTCTTCTTTCTGGATATCTTACCAGATAACACCTGTGAACCTATGTTACCATTCTTTAGAGTACAAGTAAGTGCTTCTTCCTCAGAACATACGGTTTCTTCATCTTCAGGAAGAGCTACCAATTTGTTTATCAGCTGTTGCTTTATTCTTTTGTGTGACATTTTATTTTTCAACATCTTTGCACAGGACACAATTAATTTCTGCCTCTTCAGATCATCTGCAATCTGCTTGAACTTTTCCACAATTGATGTGCTTATTGTCCACCTGGGCAGCTCTTTCCTTCTTTGATAGATTTAATGGTCAAAAGTTATTTCATTAACTTTTATTAACCTGAGATATGCCTCCTTGTGTCTTTTACTCATCCATACCAGTTCTAGCCCTCATGGTGTCAAAATTCATTTTCATTTTTACATACATTCATTTCGTATCTACATTAGTATTATAGACTTTCTAGTTTACTATCAGTGCAAGTGTTTAAAAATATATTGGTTCCTTCTGTACTTGACAATAAGGGTTTTGACTAGATGATAGTTCTAAGTTCTCTTTCAGCTCTAACATTCTGTGGTTCTTATTTTCTAATTGTTTCTTTGTATCTGCTTATTTCAGGGTACCACCATAATACCAGTATTATCTTCTGTTCTGTATGATGATGAAGAGTTCCCCAATCCAGACCAGTTTGACCCAGGTCACTTCCTGGATGAAAGTGGCAACTTTAACAAGAGTGACTATTTCATGCCTTTTTCAGCAGGTAAGACATTCATCTAAATGTATGCGTTAAAGATGGATTGATAACTCAGAGGACCTTATTACCTGTGTGACCTTGGTCAAATTATTTCATTTCTCTGAGCTTCAGTTACCTTATATGCCAAAAAACTGGGTTGGTCTAGGTGACTGTTATGGTCCTTCCAATTTTTAAAACCGGGGAGTAGGGTGGAGACATAGTAAATCATTCTTCTGATTCTTCTTAGGCTAAGGTTCATCAACTAAATCAGTTGAGTTTCAGAGTAATTGTCTGAGCTTATTCCAAAAAAGAGGCAGAACTGAGACAGTGGCCACTCTGTTCTGCATCCAGACCCACAACTAAAGTCTCCCCCCCTACATTAATAACCATCCTCCGAGGCACCGCCAATCAGGAGTTACTTCTCAGATAAAATCTTCCAGGCTTTTATGTTAACATGGTACAATCTTGTAATTTATTAAGCCAAGGAAGGGGATTGGGTTATCTTAAGGTCCATTACTCAGGTGGCATTATGGCTAAGGTCAACTAAGGTCTAATCGTAGAGTTTATGATTTTGTAGAAATGTGACTCCTGATTAGGACACGTGAGTATGGAACCCTCTTTCCTAGGTGTGTACATTTTAATGGGGATCTATTGGTACAGAATTATAGATGATAGTCTCCGTTGTCCTTTCATCTTCAATTCTTGGGGGAACCTATTGTTTATCAGGTAATGATGGTGATAGCTGTGTCTGGGGCTGGGAGACATGAGTGTTGTCAGGCAGCTAACTATCTCTGACATCGTGGTCTCCAATGTCCTGCTCAATTGGTTCTAATAGTTAGGTTAGAGCTAGGAGTGAGTAGTTAAGACAAGTGGCTGGATGGCCATGAAGCTGTGAGGTAGACTCAAGAGGTGTTTTCTCTCCAGAATGGTGACAGGAGGTTCCTGAACGGAACTTTCATCATTCTTCTGTCACCTTTCACCATTGCAGTCACTGTGGGTAGCCACAAACTTATATCTTGAGACTATAAATGAGTGATTGTTTCTCCCTAAGACAATGGCTCCTTTCCTCTGAATATAAATCCCAGAACTTGCTCTGGCTCAGGGGAGATTGATTGAGAGAGAGCATACAGGAGGGGTATTTCCTCTCTGTCTTGGCTCTTCAAAGGAGTCAAGGACCAGAGAGGAAAGGAATGCACACGGTCTTTCACCTAATGCCACTGAGTGTTAGTGGGCTACATGATTTAAAAGTGTACACATTTCAAATCCTCATATTGGTCTCTTTCAGGCAAACGGATATGTGCTGGTGAAGGCTTGGCTCGAATGGAATTGTTTCTGTTTTTTACTACGATCTTACAGAATTTTACCTTGAAATCTCCCATTGACCCAAAAGATATTGACACCACCCCAGTTGCCAGTGGATTTATCAGAGTTCCTCCGTCCTATGAGCTCTGCTTTCTACCTTCCTGAACATGTGAAGGGCCACTTCTAGTTCCAACTGCTCTAGAGTCTCCTCATGTGCTATGGACAAGCTGTGTTTATTCCATTGCCTAACAATGAAAGCCCTTTATGATCTCAGCCCAAAATACCGTAGTAGCATAATCTAATACTCCCTTTGACTTTTACCAAAATCATGACTTAATTTTCCCCAATTCCCTGTTCCTGGAACATTTCTTTTCTTCTCTTCAGCTGGACTAAATGAATCCTCCTCATACTTCACACCATAGTTTAGATGCCATATCCCTGTGACCTCTATAGCACTTATCTGTAACTCACAATTCAAGCCTGAATTACATACCCATCTTATGTCGTGTACTCTTGCAGACATGTTTGTGGATCCTGTCTTGTGTTCCTCACTAGATCTTGAGCTTCTTGTTGGTAGGGCCTTTATCCTATGCTTGTGTGCAGTTATCCACCACCAATGGGTTAGAAGCCATTTTCTGCTCCTTAAAAGTCTCATATTATATACTTCAACACATACATGTATCCTGCTCTGATGGCAGGTTAACTGCTGACAAGGCGATGGCAGTGAAGTGGTTCCTTGGACAGAGTATAGGACCTGGAATTAGGAGGACTTGAGTTCAAACCAGCCTTAGACATTTGCTGGCTTGTATGACCCTGGACAAGTCACTTCATCTCTGTTTGCTTCATTTTCTTTATTTGTAAAGTGGGTATAAGCATAGCATCTATCTCATAGGATTATTGGAGAGGATGAAAGGAGTTGATAATTGTTAAGTATTTAGCACAGTGTGTGGCACATTATAAGGCATTTGGAACCTAGTGTGTGATTGGTGCTGGCACTGTCTCCTTTCCCTTCATTGTGCTCTTTCTCCCTTGGCCATGAGATAATTCTCTGGTCTGTTTTGCCCAGGCTTTACTGTGTGAGAGGCCACAGGTTAATGATAAAGGATTGAGTCTGTCCTGTTGGTTCAAATGTGGGGTGGGGTATGAAGTTCAGGAATCTAGAAATGGAATCTCAATCAGAGCAGAGGAATAGAAGCTGTTAAGAGAGAATTAAGCTTCATTATCTGAGCAAGCAGTAAGCCAGCTGATGTTCCCATAGGTCATCAGTTCAGGAGGGCTCACTGAACGGAGGTTCTGCACCAGGAGCCAGGTGAGATGTTCTATTCACAGACATAGTGTATGTTTCAATTTATTTCACTGAGAATGGTCCATGGTGGTCACCCTATTCAAGGTGCTACAGGGGAAAGTCATGAAGTTTGAAGTCAGGGGAACCTGAGTTTTAGTAATAGCTCTGCCACTTATTTACTGTGTGACCTTGGGCAAATTACTGAACTTCTCTGGGGCTAAGTTAAAATTAGGTGGTTCCAGTTGATCACTATTATGTATGATTCCTGCCAGATCTGAATCTAAAACATCTTATATTTCTATGGTCTAATAGTAACACATTTCTGTAGCAACAAAGTACTTTTCTCGTGACAAACCTGTAAGGTATCTATCTGGTGCAAACATTGTTGTCCCCACTTTACAGATGGGAAAAGTGAGGTCTAGAAAGAAGCACCGCCTAGCAGCACCATACCTTAATTCCATGTCTTATGACTCAAGTTTGAAACTCTCCACTACACTCCTTTACCTAGGGAGTTCAGGGCTCCTCAGTGAGTCCTCCCTTATCAAGTTCCATCTGCCTTATATCCACATACACTCCTTTCTCTCTGTTCTCCCTTCTTCTAGATTCAGATGAGACGTTGAATCATTTAAGTGATGCAAAGCATTGGTGTTTCCAACAAGCACTGAAAAAGGATTGCCCCTTTGTGCTGAAAAGACAGGAGAGCATCTTTATCTAAAATCATTTTGTGACACTTGTTTCTAGTCATTCTGTCGTGTTCCCCTAGTCCGTGATCAGCTCCTGGATGGCACCAAGGAAGGGACTTTAGAAATCAATCAGCTAGCCTATTCCCCTCATTTTATAGATGGTGTTTGGGGAAACAGAGGTCTAGTGAGGTGACGTGACTTTGTCAAAGGGTTCAGAACTTGCTCTTCATCAGTTCTTGCAAAATTTCCCAGGTTGACTGAAATCATCAGGTTCATCATTTGTTAAGACATAAGAGTATTCTGTTACATTCATATACCATAATTTGTTTATCTATTTTCCAGTTGGTAGGTATCCCCTTAATTTCCTGTTCTTTGCTAACACAAAATGAGATGCTATACATACATTTGTATATATACTCTTTTTTTCCCTGGTTCTTTGATGTTTTTGGGATATGGGCCTAGTAGTGGTACAGTTGGGTCAGAGGCTGTGCACAGTTTAGTGTCTTTCAGGGCCTAGTTCCAAATTGATTGGGCCCTGAGTCCCGCTGTCCTGAAAATGCTCTTGCTCCCTGCTTTTACTGGGACTTGTTGTGAGCTCACTCATCGTCTCCCACGGTTACAGCTTAGGGTCATGTCTGGTCAGCACCACTAGACCTACCATCTGGAAACAGCGGGGTGAGGGTGGCCCTTCTGTCTCCCCTCACTCAGCTGTCTCATCCTCATGCTGGGTTAGATGAGCTGAAAGTTCTTTGAGGACTACTCTACTTCCCTGGGGCAGCTCTGAAAGTTCTAGAACCAGAGGGTCAAGTAGGAAAAGAAAAACAGTGTAGTGGTCACCACCTAAAAGAGATCCTAGGAGGAAAACTTACAAGAATGTCATAGCTAAGTTTCAAAACTCTCAGGTTAAGGGGAAAATATTGTGAGCAACAAGAAAAGAAACAAATTAGATACTGTGGAGATACTATCACGGTTTCACAAGACCTAGCAGCTTCTACATTAAAAGATCATGGGTTTTGGAATATTATATTTGAAAGAGCAAAAGAGCTGGGGTTGTAACCAAGAATAAATTACCCAACAAAGTTGAGAATAATCCTGAATGAAAAATAAGAATGCACATTTGACTAATTGAAAGCCTTACAGGTATTTGTGACAAGAAGACTAGAACTCAGTGGACATATTGATATAAAAGATCCAGAAGAAATATAAGGAAAACATTAAAGACTAATTATTAGTCTTTGAGTTACTGAGGTCAAACTGCTCCTCAGTCTCCTTCAAAGATCTGCATCTAGAAAATGCTCTTTAGCTGTAGGTGTCCCAGAGTTCTATGAGAGCTGCTTCTCTATTTATAATACTTCACTTGGTGATCTCATCAGTTCCCATAGGTTTAATTACCATCTCTATGCTGATGATTCTCAGATCTACCTGTTTTACCCCAATCTCTCTGCTTACCTCCAGTCTCCCATCTCCTGTTGCCTTTCAGATGTCTTAAACTCAACATGTCCAAATTGAACTCATTATCTTTCCTCCCAAAGCCTCGCCATCTTCCTAAGTTCCTATTGTCAGAGCGGGCAACACTGTTTTCTAAGTCCCTACCTAGGTGCCATCCTGGACTATCCACAATCGCTCACCCCTCATATCCCATCTGTTGCCAAGGCCTATTTTACCTTTGTAGTGTCTCTTGAATAGCCCCCCTTCTCTCAGACACTGCCACCACTCTAGTATAGACCCTCACCACTTTATGCCTGGATTATTGCAAT